TGTGGGATCTTCCCGGACCGGGGCGCGAACCCGTGTCCCCTGTATCAGCAGGCGGACTCTCAACCACTGCGCCACCAGGGAAGTCCTACTTTCTTTTTTATTTCCCTGCAATCCTTTAGGGTAATTCTCTTTCATCTCCCTTTTCATCTAGTTCTGCTTTGTTTTGTCTATTTTCATCTCATTGGATTCTTTCCGTAGAGAATTTGGATTCTACTTTATATAAGTATGAATTTCTCCCATTTTATTGAGGAAAACATAAAATATTAAACGTTTTTTCTTTTGGATCCAGTAGCAGTTTTGTTGTTGTTCGTTTGTTTGTTTAAATTCATGTTCTTTCATTAAGCTTTCAAGTTTAGAACTGCTGCTATCAAGTCTCCTTAGATTTACAGATCAAGTGTTGATATTTAAGGACAACTACCAATCCAATTCCAGTTTCTACCTGACATTCACCTAATGTCACTTTGATGTACCAAAGCATCTCAATGCTTATTTTCTGAGCTCACAACGTACAATAAAATTACATTTCCTGTAAAGCATTTCTATAATATTATTCTTTCTGTGAATATCACTTCAAAATCAAACCTCTAACTTGGGAGACTATAAGAATATATGGCTAGTAATTCATAAGTTTCTACTCAGTCTTCTCTCATCCTCCCTCCTACCCGCCCCTCCCCTTGAGCCTAGAGATTACTATCTTATAATGGTTATAGAATTTGTGATTGATTGGAGGAGGCAGGGATTCTATTGGGGAGAAAGAGAGTATTTTTCGGTCTCTCATAAAAAATAACACTGTAGGATTCTAACATTCTAACAGGACTTCATAAAATTAGGCAAGTATGTTTTAGATATGAAAGAGTAACAATGGAGTATCAGCCCCACTAACCATCAGAAAGTTTAACAAAGGCATAACTATAAAAACCATTATAAAAACCATAGTATTAAAACAATGTTAAAAAGGAAGACACAGACACCTCTGGGGTATAAAAATTAGCACTTGATAAATAGGAATTTACAGATCAGAGTGTGAAGCAAAAACAAAAGGATTAATTGCTTCATTAACTCATATACCAAAAAAACCCTTCATAAATTTACATATTAACAGTTCCAAAATCAAACCATATAAATATAAACTATAACATAAATTACTAGTAATACATCACTGCATGAACCAAAGACAGACAAAGGCATTATTTTTATACTCAGTATTCATGGACTGGAGGAGGCATTATTGTTAAGATGACAGCTCTATCAAAATTAACCTATATATTCAATGAGATTGCAATCAAATCTCGGCAAGCTATTTTATACATATTTCCAAACTTATTTTCAAGTTTATATGGGAAATAAAGACACAGAAAAGTCAACACAATACTGAAGAAATAGAACAAAGCTGGAGGACTCGCACTACCTGACTTCATGACTTACTATAAAGCTGCAGTTAACAAGACAAGGTGGTACTGGTGAGAAAAAAGGACACATAGATAAATGAAACAGAATAGAGATCCCAGAAATAAACCCATAGAAATACAGTCAACCAATCTTTGACACCTGGGCAAAGACAATTCAATGAAGAAAGAAAATCTTTTCCATAAATGCTGCTGAACAATGAGACCTCATATGTATAGAAAGAAGGAAGGAAGGAAGGAAGGAAGGAAGGAAGAAAGAAAGAAAGAAAGAAAGAAACCTTATATCTGTCATAAAAATGAATTCAAAATGGATCATAGGCCTAAATGGAAAATGGAAAAATATAAAAATTCTAATAGAGAACATAGAAAATCTAGGTGGCCATGGGTTTGGTGATGAGTTTTCAGATACAAAACCAAAAGATGATCCATTTTCTGTTCTGAAAAATACACTGTAAAGAGAATGAAAATACAAGCCACAAAATGGGAGAAGATATTTGTGAAACACATGCATGATAAAGGTGTTGTATCCAAATAAAACAAAAATCACTTAACACTCAACAGTAATAAAACAAACAAACCAAATCAAAATGGGCAAAATGGTCTGAACAGACAGCCCACCAAAGAGGATAAACACATAACAAATAAAGACATGAAAATATGCTCAACACCATTTGTAATTAGGGAATTGGAAAATTAAATAGCAACGAGATAGCACTTCATACCTATTAGATGGCTAAAACCCCAAAACCTTAATAATACTGTATGCTGGCAAGGATGCAGAACCAAAATAACTCTAATTTGTTGCTGGTGGAAATGCAAAATGGTACACCAACTTCAGAAGACAGTTCAGCAGTTTCTCATAAATCTGCACATAGTCTTACACTAAAAACCAGCAATCATGCTCCTAGGTATTCATCCCAATGAATTGAAATTTATGTCCAAATAAAAACCTGCACACAAATGTTTATAACAGTTTTATTCAAAATCACTTAGAAGCAACTAAGATGTCCTTTAATAGGTGAATGGATAAACAAACTATGGTGCATCCATATAAAGAAATGAGCTATTTAGCCACAATAAGACACATATGAACCCTCAAAGTACATTGCTACATGAAAGAAGCAATGTGAGTAGGCTCCATACTATATGATTCCAGTTACATAACATTTTGGAAATTGGAAAACATAGAGACAGTAAACAGATCAGTGATTGCCAGAGGTTTGGAAGTGGATTAAATAGTTGAATTACAAAGGAATTTTGAGGACAGTAAAACTATTTTGTATGATAATGCAATGGTGGATATATGATATTACACATTGGCCAAAACCTATAGAACTTTATAGCACAAAATGTGAAAGTTAATGTATGCAAATTTAAAAAACCTCATTTAAGAAGTCCAGGGATCCCAGGATGGAAAAAGACAAAAAACAAAAGAATTTGCTATTTCAAAGGTATGAAACAACCTCACTGAAGAGGGTAGGAGGAAAAGGTGTTGCCCTAAGTAACTTTGGAAATGAATGGAATTATAAAACTAAAGTCAAGAGAAGTGCACATAAGCCCTGCATTCTAGTTAATAAAGCAGTTCCCATGGATGAATGGACTAACAATTCTAATATTTTTATACATATATACAGAGATTGAACAATTAAGTAACTGAATGGCAGACAGTAGGAGTTAGGTTTCTCACTATTTGGAGTGAGAATTACTAGATAATTAAGAGGAAAAGGTTAAAATGATCCATATGTTAATGAATTAGAGTTGGAGATATCAGTAGGAACTCATGTTTAGTTAAAATATATATATGTATATACATATATATACTGTTAAAAATAGAAATATTTATACATATGGTAAATAAACTATCATAGACACATACATTTATTTGCTCCATCAGCTGATTGGCCCTAGAAACAAAACCCTGGTAGAAATGAGGATACCTAGTACCCATATCTTGGTTTCTCATACCATTCTTCAACTATAAAAGAAAAAACAAAAAAAAACCCAACTAAACAAACCAAAAAAGAGTTTCTATGGAGAACTCCTGCCTCTTGTATTGATGCAGGAAATATACAAGATGAACCTAGAGGTCTGGAACCTCTAATACTGCCAAAATATAAAAAAAAATTCAGAAAACACAAAAACAAAACACCTTGATTGACAGAAGTAAATCAAAGGATCCACGAAAAGAGCTCCCAATGGCCAAAGCTCAAATAATTCGAGCAATAAATAAAGTAATAATCTAAAGTATAAAACACATATCTATGTGCCCATAATAATATATATATTGATGATTGAATAAGTAAGTAAATAAATAAGGGAGATGAATCAAATCTCCCATGCAGAAGAATTAAAAATGTTTTATGTAGATATTCTACCCTCAATGAAAGGAGCATAATTTCTCATTCTTTCCATGTGAACTATACAAAGTAAAAAATAAATAAATAAAAAGAGAATCTTTATAGTGGAGAAATCTGACAAACATCACTTATGCCAGATAACCAAGGTCAACATCAACAGTGATAAATCGTTTTGATAATATGTATCCTTGACATGGTGTGATGAAAATGGCACTTTGCCTTTTATTAAAAACCTATAACTGTTAGTCTAACCATAAAAAAAGACATCAGACAAATTCCAATGGAAGAGCGTTCTACAAGATACACAATCACTACTCATTAAAGCCGGCCAGGTAATCAAAAACAACGAAAATCTGAGAAATTGTCACAGCAAAGAGGAAGCTTAGGAGACGTGACAACTAAAAGTAATGTGGTATCCTAAATGGGATCCTGTAGCAGAAAAAGGATGTTAGGTAAAAACCAAGGAAACCTGGACTTTAACTAATGATAATCCATCAACAGTGGCTCATTAATTGTAACAAATGTATCCTACTAATGTAAGGTGTTAATATAAGAAAAACTATATCTTCTCAATTTTTCTGTAAATCTAACATTGTTCTAACAAGAAGTTTACTAAAAAACAAGATTTATACTTTTAATGATTCTAAGAATTCATTAAAAACAGTGAAACAGAAAACTTTAGAATGATCTATATATGTGTATATCTATGCATATTTGCATATGAATGTATATATGCATTTCCCAAAATATGAATCACCAATGAGCTTATGAATAAATTTCAGCAGAATTAGTAATCAAAGAAATAATAATTTAAAATTAAGACTATTCATTGATTATTAAATCAGAAAAAATACAGATAACCCACAATTCTCTGGTTATAGGAAAATAAATAAAAACAAATTTTTTGAGAATAATTTTCCAATTATCCAAAACTTATTCAGGTTTGTGCCACTGGACCCAGAGACTCTAATTCTAGTAATGCATTTTGAGAATACATTTTAATTTATTTCTGTGTAAAGATTTAGCACTATTTTCTCATTGGTTGTTTTAAAATGGCAAACAATTAAACATCCTAAATGTTACAATAATAGGAGATATGTTAAATAATTATAACGGGCTTCCCTGGTGGCGCAGTGGTTGAGAGTCCGCCTGCCGATGCAGGGGACACGGGTTCGTGCCCCAGTCTGGGAAGATCCCACATGCCGCAGAGTGGCTAGGCCCATGAGCCATGGCCGCTGAGCCTGTGCGTCCGGAGCCTGTGCTCTGCAACGGGAGAAGCCACAACAGTGAGAGGCCCGTGTACCACAAAAAAAAAAGAAAAAAAAATTATAACTACACAATTGCCCACAGCTACACAATGAACTATTATTCTAGAATTAAACATAACATTTAAAAGTATATTAATGACTTTAAAAGTTGAATAAATTAAAATATTTTAATATATTAAAATATTTATAAAATGATCTTAATTTTATAAATTCAAATAAACATATGTAGTTGCCAGCCTCCAGGATGGCTCTCAGAGTGATCTTGCCTCCTGATATTCAAGGAGTTCCCTCCCACACTGAATCACAGATAGACTGTATAGCCATTTGTGCATGACAGAATTATGGTGCTAGCTCATAAAGGCATCCCATCTTGGTCTCTTGGATTGCTTGCTCAGGGAGAAGCTCAGAGAGAAGCACATGATATGGATAGATAGATGATGATAATGATGATGATGATAAATGATAAATGAAAATATTTATAATTTCCCTTTACTTCTAAGAAAGATGGCTCAGTACATCCAAAGTTTCCTTTGATTTCTGAATGGTAATGGTAATGGTATATATATGTGTGTTCTGAGAGAACTTTGATCCACATAAGAAAGGGTATGCCAATGCAGTAAATTCCCATAAAGAGAACTACTGGACTCCCATAGGTCAACCTAGGTCAAAACTGTGACAGCTACCAAAGGCACACTGAACAGGAACTGGAGTGGGAACTTGGTCCATCCAGAGTCATTCTCAAGGGCAATGATTGTTTATGTCTAGTTCTTCTTTGTATGTCTGGGGCTCTTCCTCTGGAAGTGAAAATATGCCCATTTTACAGGTGGAAATATCTGTGCCTAGCAACTAACAACTAAAATTTGTTTACATGTTACTTTATGTAGGGGTGTGTGTTTGAGCTCTGTGAAAATAGGTCTTCATCTTATTTCTAGAGACACGTAGAGTGCTTAGGCATATTACATGTTGAATATTTAAGTGCACTCATTCTCTAATTCTTTCAACAGATATTTCTTGAGCCTCTTCTACATGTAAGATATTATGATAGACTCTGGGGTTACAAAAGTAAGACAGAGACCTAATGGAGCATGGACTGTTAAGGACAGAATTGTGCCTTCCTCCATTCATATGCTGAAGCCCTAGCCTCTAATATGATTGTATTTGGAATGGAGACAGGGCTTTTAAGGTAATTAAGGTAAAATGAGGTCATAAGGGTGGGGCCCTAATCCAATATGACTGGTGTCATTATAAGAAACAGAAGAGATAGCAGGGATGCATGCACACAGAGGAAAGGGTCGTGAGAGGACACCATAAGAAGGCATCCATCCATCTAAAAGCCAAGAGAGAGCATGCCAAAGACAGAGGCCTCAGGAGAAATCAGCCTTACTGGTACCTTGATCTTGGATTTCCAGCCTCCATAACTGAGAAAATAAACTTCTGTTGTTTAAGCCACCCAGTCTGTGCTATTTTGTTATGACAGTCCTACCAACTAATAGACCATGATGGAGAAGTTGGTGAAGAAGAGAAGAATCATACACTGTAGCCTGCAGACTGTGATACGGATTTGGTATTTCTCCCAATAAAAGGTGAAGCCATAGAAAAGCTTAAGAAAAGAGGTAACATGATAATTTTTGTGTTCAATAAGAAATACTCTGAAATATTAGATTGTAGGTAAGCAAAAAGTAATGTTAGAGACCAGTTAGATTATTAAGGCAAGAGAGAATCATCATTTTATGTGAAACGGAGATGAAGATTTTTCAATTAATTTTTGTTGGTAAATGGCAAATAGCAGATAAAACTCTAAGTATTTATTCTTTTTTTAAATTAGGGCTTGATATAGACTAAAATAATTTTGAAAAATATTTAGACTTAGAATATTAATTCTGAGATATTATAAAGGTCTTAATGATGAAAAATCCAATAATGACAATTTTTTTATACTTAACTAAAATAAAAAGAATAATAGGTTTCAGAATGATGTTGAAACAAAGAAAATTTTGTTGATTAAATTGTTTTATAACTTAATGCTTTACATTATATCTATGATTAACAAATATTTTAAAATAAATGTACGTTACTTCTGTTTTTAACATGTAGTTTGTTTTCCAAACTAAAATATACGTAATATACAAATATATCCAATAATAATATATAAAATGAGTTAATAAAAAAAACTTACCACATTTGGCACATAAATCCTCAGTGAATGTTCCTGGTGGGTTTTAAATTATGTTTTTTCATACATTGTATCTGTTTTGCCTTAAATCCTCTTGACTTGGCCACTGTATGTAGTCCCTTTAATCTCTTCTTAAAGTTGAGTGTGATAATAGTGTCCCAGGTCACAAGATAATTTGGAGAAATCACTAATCATCTAGAACACAAATGTTTTTGAAATAAATACATTTGTGAGGTGGAATCAAGACAAAAAAATAGCAATTATTTGAGAAATAATTATAAGAGATATTAATTCATCACCACCTCCTTGCTGCCACCTCCATTCTGCAATAAAAATTGTGTGGAACATTAGAACATCAGTCATAGTGAAATAAAGCTTGTTTCAGTCTCCAAAAGCCTTATGATCCTGCACCAAAAAATAACACACTCATTATATATGAATAATCCAGATAAATGAGTCATTTGAGAATGCCAAAATTGGATTCTGAATGGTAATATGGCCAACGGAAAAAGCATTTGGAAAAAGATGAGCTAATCATACTATAAGAAATTTTGCTATTGTCTGTCCACAACCCTTCTTTCCTTTCTTAGAGGAGTCAGGACTAAATATCATTAAGAGTTTCTGATAGCATCAGGATTTGCTTTCTGGGTAATGGAAAATTTGATTATCCATAAGTGACAACAGATACATCCAGTTAAAACTGACTGATGTAAGTGTAAGAGTAGCCCCTGGATTATAATTATGGAAATAGAGCATAATTTTATTTGTTCTAAGACCTGATCATTTACATGCCTCATGTAGAGATTGTGGGGGGTGGGTAAATATCATTTAGACTGCAAACTTGTCTCAGTTATAAAAATATTTGCATGAATTCCATTAAACTGCTCTTTAAACCAACGCCAGTCTCTTAAATATCTTGCATTATTAATAATGTGGGTGTGTGGGTACCCATGCATTATTGCATGTGCATGCCAGGAAAGAATAGGTACCAGGATAAAAGGAAAACATTTGCTTTCCTACCAAAATTACATGTCTGTAGAAATTCTAATTCTTTAAATCCTGTAAATCCAGCTTTGACTCTCTATTACTCATAATCTATCCATGTGTGCAAATCTCCATGTCATAGTCTAAATAAATTTCTCCCTTATACTCCAAGAAAAAAAAATGACCTTACATGTCACTTAGATTGAACGATGTATTCTTTCTAACTATAATATTTAAATAATAATAATAAAACAGAAACTAATTGCCTGGACAACTCATGTCCAGTCATCATATCCAGAGGGATTGAGAGATGGAGAGTAAGCACCGAGGGCACAAGAAGAACTGAGATGACTTGTGATCAAGTAGCATTAACCTATACTATTCAATCAGTAAGCATACATAGTTCATCCGATTATTCTGCATTTTTTTTGGCCGTGCCCTGTGGCTTGCGTGATCTTAGTTCCCTGACTGGGATCAAACCTGTGCCCTCTTCAGTGGAAATGCGGAGTCCTAACCACTGGACCACCAGGGAATTCCCCATCAGGTTATTCTGAAAGAAACCTTAAAGGTGACACATTATTCCAGTCCCCCTACCATGCAAGAGCTGGAATGGAGTCCAAGGAAAGAGATCTGTCTTTGGTCCTTCACCATTTAGTGGCTAAAACTTGATAAGAATTGAGGTCTTCTATCCTCTCTTTCAGTTTTCATTCAAGTTATAATGATCATTTAACTTAAAAATACTGATGTAAAATTAACTACATCCAGGACAAATTTGATTTTTTCTTCATTTCTAACCATGAGGTTTTTCCACTATATGTAGCCATTTTCTATTTTACTTATATTGCCACAAAGTTTCATGGACAATCAGCAATAGTGACAAAAACACAAAAATATAGATTGATAGAAACAGAGATTACTAGAAAAAATAAATTTATAATGCAAAAAAGTTAATAGGGTTATGCATCAGGAAAGATGGATTAGATGTACTTTTCCCTATTCTTCCCACTAAGCACACTAAAAGCACTGACATTATATATAAAACAAACAAGATAATTCTGCAAGGTGGGGAAAAGAAGGCAGAATGGTTATGAAGCTGAGGACCTGAGGAGCCACGTGGCTGTTGTTCCCTGGGTTTTCCTTTTGCTTCATGTATCATGCCAGACTGGGTGCAAGAGAAGCTGGCAACTCAGAAATGCCAATAAGCAATGACAAATACAAAGGCCAAACAAAAGTCTGCTCTCTCTAGCCAAAGTACCAGAAAAGGGGCAGCCTGGCAAGAAGAAAGCTTTCAGACAATAATTGTTCTAATCTGGCCAAATACTACCAAAATACAATAATCACCACCCCATCCCACTTTTGCCAACCCAGGCCCATGAGGAGACTAAACTTCTAATCTCACCAGGCTGCAACAAAGCTTCTGAAACCTCCTTCCTTGCCTGGGTGGGGAGGGGAAAGTGGTGATATTAAAAAAAGTTGAGTTGAGGAGCCAGGATTCTCATCCCCACCAGGCAGTAATGACATATCCTGTCCCTCCCTGCTATGGTGGTGTCAGAGGAGGCCTAATGGATGGTAAAAAATTCACTACCACTTCCTGCATTGTTGTGTCCATGGAAGCCATGTGGAGAGTAGTAACAAGGTACGGCTCCCCTTCCAGCCAGTGTAATCAGTGAGGCCTTGTGGAGACCTGAAATTTCATACCAGACCTCCTTTCTGTGTGGGAACAAAGACTTCTACCCTCATCTGGCACTAAAGAGGTGGTATCCCTTTCTCCAGTGGAAAGGTAACAGAAGAAGGCCACTAAAACATGGTTTAAATAATTTCCAGAGTCTCATAATACTGAAAAAATCAATTTTCAATTAAAAAAATCATTCATCATACATACCATGAACCAGAAAAACTTCAACTTGAATGAGAAAAAGAAATCAATAGATATCAGCACCAAGATGACACAGATGTCAGAATTATCTGAAAAGGATTTTACAGCAGTTATCATAAAAATGCTCCAATGAACAATGAAGAACATGCTGGAAATAAATGAAAAAAAAAAAAGTCTCAAGAAAGAAACAGAGTCTCAGCAAAGAAATAGAAAATACAAAGAAGAACAAAAATTTTATTTTATTTTTAATTAAAATTTTTAATTTTCTCTTTTTTGGCCATGCCATGTGTGCAGCTTGCGGGATCTTAGTTCTTTGACCTGGGATTGAACCCACATCCTCATCAGGGAACATGAGGAGTCCTAACCACTGGACTGCCAGGGAATTCCCTAAAATGAAATTTTAGAACAAAAAAATGCAATAACCTAAATTGAAAACTCAAAGAATGGGCTCAACAGAAGAATGGAGAGGATGGAGTAAAGACTCAATAAACTCAAACATAGAATATAAATTACCTAGTCTGTTCAACAGAGAGAAAATACACTGGAAAAATAAAACAGAAGTATAAAACATATCCTTAAGGACTTGTGGGATTTTAACAAAAGATCTAACATTTATATCATGGAGGGTCTCAGAAACACAGGATAAAGACAGTGGTACTAAAAAAAAATATTTGAAGAAATAATGACTGATAATGTCCCAAATTTGGCATAAGACATAAATCTACAGGTTCAAGAGACTTAGCAAACCCCAAAAGGGTCAAGCCCCACAAAATTCATAGAAGACAAACCACAGTAGAACTTTTGAAAACTAAAACAAAATAAATTATTTTTTAAATAGCACATGAAAAATAACACTTTGCCTGTAGGAGAAAAACAATTTGACTGAAAGTGGATCTCTCATCAGAAACCATGGAGTCCAGAAAGAAGTGGCACATTTTTCAAGTGCTAAAATCAAGACATTCTCCTAGAAAAAAAAAAAAAAAAGATAATTTATTGCCATCAGGAAGGAACAAAGAACAGCACAAAGAACAAATACATGGGTAAAAATAATAAACTTTCTTTCTCATCTTGTGTTGTCTAAATTATTTTGATGGTTGAAGCAAAACATAATATCATCTGATGTTGATCTCAATGTATGTAGAAAAAATACTTAAGGCAGTTATACTATAAATGGGGAAGGTGAATGGATTTAAAGAGAGGTAAGTTTTCTACACTTAGCTTATAATGGTAAGATGTTGAAATTAGTAGACTGTGACAAATTTGGTATATAAATATAATAATTCGAATAATCACTAAAATGGTATACAAAGAAATAAACTAAAAAATATTATACTAAATCAAAATGCTATTCTAGAAAGTGAAAGATAACCCACTGGAAGGCAGGCAAAAGTAAACAGAAACAATAAAACAGAGGAATCAAACAGAAAACAAACAAAAAAATAAAGTAGAAGAATTTATCCTGACTTGTAAATAAGTAAATTAAATGTAAATGGTCTAAATGCATCAATAAACAATGTAGATCAATAGTGTGGATTAAAAAAATGAACCAACTATATATTTTCTGTAAGAAAGTCACTTTGAATGTAATAAAATAGGTTGGTTGAATGTAAAAGAAAGAGAAAAATATGCCATACAAACATGAATCAGACAAAAGCAGAAGGGGCTCTATTCATATCAAATAAAGTAGACATCAGAGCAAAGAAAATCACCAAAGACAGAGAGGCAGAGAGAAACATTACTTAAGGAGAAAAGTGCCAATCCATTAAAAAAATGCAGCAATTCCAACAACAGAGTTCTAAAATGTATTAACCAAAAACTGATAGAACTAAAAGGATAAATAGACAGATCTAAAATTATAGTTGGAAACCATAACATCCATCTAACATTTTATAGAACAATAGAAAAATGGCTTGGTCAATATTCAAAAATCAGTCAATGTAATCCTCCATATAAATAGACTACAAAAAAAATCTCAATACAGCAATTGATGCAGAAAAAGCATTCAACAAAATTGAACAGCAATTTGTGATATTTCACAAAACTAAGAATAGAGTAGAATTCCTCAACTTGATACAGAATATTTACCAAAAAGACCCTACAGCTAATATCATACTTAATGGTGAAAGACTGAATGCTTTCACCCAAAGATTGGGAACAAGGGAAGGATGTTCACACTCACTACTGCAATTTATCATAGTACTGAAAGTCCTCACCATCAAAATAAGGCAAAATAAATAAACGAAAGATATACAGATTGGATAGAAAGAAATAAAGCTGAAAATCATCCCTATTTGTAGATAAAATAATGGTCTATATAGAAAATCCCAAGAAATGT